TGAATATGAAAAAACAGTAAAAACCTTGTGATAAAGATACAACACTCATGCCTGTGTATGAGTATGACACAGTCAACTTGTGAAAGTATGACAGAACAGTCAACCTGTGAGAAAAGTATGACAGAAAGTCAACCTGGTGATAAGTAGACAAACATCAACCTGTGTGATGAATTTTGACAAAAGCCCCTGTTGAGAAGTTACAGAACATAACCGAGATGAAGTATGACAAAAACTTTCAACCGGTGATAAGTATGAAGAACATCACCTGTGTGATAAGTATGACAAACAGTCACCCTTGTGATGAATATGACAGAACATCAACTTTTTGAATAGACAAACAGTCTCCTGGGATGAATTGACAAACATAAACTTGTTGATGAAGTATGACAGAAAACACCTTGTGATGAAGTTGAAAACATCACCTTTGATAAAGTTGACAGAAATCATTATGTGATGAAGATGACGAACATAAACCTTTTGAGAAGATGACAAAAACAGTCAACCTGGGGTGATGAAGTATACAGAACAGTCATCATGGGATGACGTATAAGAACAGTACCCTGGTGATAAAGTATGACAGAACGCAATTGTGAAATGACAAACATCTCTGTGTTAAGTTGAAAACATCACCCTTGTAAGTTACAAAACAGTAAAACCTGTGGATGAAGTATGACAGAACCAAACCTGTGTGAAGTATAAAACATCAACCGGTGATGAATTAGAGACCTCATCCTTTGTTTATTTTGACGAACATCATCCGTGTGGTAAAATTTCGACAAAAACAGCCCCATCCTGTGTGATAAAATATGCAGGAGAGTCATTGAATGATAAGTATGAAGAACAGTCAACCTGTGTGATGAAGTAAACAATCCCTGTGTGATAAAAGTATGACAGAACAGTCACCTGTGGAGAAGTATGAAGAACATCATCCTTGATGAAGTATGACAAACAGTCACCCTTTTGTGATGAAGAACAACAGTCAACCTGTGTATAAATAGACCTTGTCATCGTGTGATGAAGTATACAAACGGTCAACAGTGTATGAAGTATAAAACAGTCATCCTGTTGAAAAGTTGATAAACAGTCAACTTGTTGTGAAGTAGGACAACATCTCCTGTGGATGAAGTATGACAGAACATCAACCTTTGATAAATATACAGAACATCACCCTTTGGGGATGAAGTATGAAGAACAGTCATCCTTTGAAAGTTGACAAAAGTAAACCTCTGTGATAAATTGCAACAGTCAACCTTGGATGAATTGAAAACAGCATTGTTGATGAAGTAACAGAACAGTCACTAAGGATGAAGTATAAAACATCACCTTTTGGGTATAAAGTAAAAAAACAGTCATCCTGTGGATAAGTTTGCCAAACAGTCACCAATGGATGAAGTTGACAGAACGTAAACCCGTGTGAAAAGTAACGAACAGTAAAACCTTTAAAAGTATGAAAAACAGTCACTGGGGATAAAGTATGACAACAGTCATCCTTGTGTAAAGTATGACAGAACGCAACCTTGTGATGAAGTATACAGAACATATCCTATGTGATGAATATACAGAACGTCATCCTGTGTGTGAAGTATGAAAAAATCACCCTGTGTGATAAAGACAGAAATCACCCTGTGTGATGAAGTATGACAAAGTCATTTTGGTGTAAAGTATGACAAAACAGTCAACTTGTGTGATGAAGTATGACAGAACATCATCCTGTGTGTAAAGTAGACGAACAGTAACCTTGTGAAAAATATGAAAGAACAGTCATCCTGTGGATGAAGTATGAAAACATCACCTGTGTGATGAAGATGACAAAACATCTCCTGTTATGAAGTATGACAGAACACCCATCCGTGTGATGAATATGACAACAGCATGCTGTTGTAAAGTTGAAGAACATCACTTGTGTGTAAAGTATGACAGAACCATCCGTGTGATGAAGATGACAAACAGTCCCCTGTGTGATAAGTATGACAACGGGTCATGCGTGTGATGAAGTTACAGAACAGTCAATGTGTGAGAAGTAGACAAACGTCACCCTGGGGAAAAGTTGCGGAACGTCATCCTGTGGATGAAGTAACAAACGTCATCCTGTTGATGAAATGACAGAACGTCACCTGTGTATAAGTATGGCAAACAGCTTCCTTTATGAAGATGACAAACATTTCACCTGGTGAGAAGTTGAAAAAACAGTACCTGTGTGAGAAGTATACAGAACATAAAACCTTGTGATGAAGTATGACAGAACGTAAACCCTGTGTGATAAAGGACAAACAGTAAACCTGTGTGATGAAGTATGACAAACAGTCAACCTGTGTGAAAATTTAAACAACAGTCATCCTGTGTAAAAAAGTAGACAAACGCAACCTGGTGTGAATATGACGAACAGTAAACCCTGTTATGAATTGACAACATAAACCCTGTGTGATGAAGTATGCACAGCAACCCTGTGTGTAAAAAGTATGACAAACACACCTGGTAATGAATATGACAGAACATCACCTGTTGATAAGTTGACAGAACATCTCCTGTTTGATAAAGTAGACAGAACTCATCCTTGTGATAAGTATGACAAAACAGTCTACCTGGGGATGAAGTATCCCTGGAAAATTTCCGGGGGTAAACTCCCGCGGCCCGGTCTTGCCCGGGTCTCAGGGGGATCAGAGCCAAAAACCCAGCTGTTATGGGCGCACTAATCCAATAGAACCTACCCGGGCTGGTCGTTACGACTGGTACTTGCCCAGGCCTCTTAAGACAGCCGGGGGTCAGGGGTAATCCCCCTGATTATGCGGGAGGCAGTTGAACAGTCTTGGGCCGTTCACTAGTGTTTGTTCTTATCGGCTATGGGACCCTGCTGTTCTTTGGGGGTTTTTTGCACTGTTTTCCGGTCTTTGCTTTCGTAGGAATGATTTTCGTGTGCAATTGGGGTGCTGCCCCCTCTAAATTTTCCATGTTTAATAATCATGTTTCCTGTTGTATAAAAACACGGCCTTATCTCTACTTTATTGAACTAAATCTTCAAAAACTTCTGAATCGCATCGCTGAAAAAGGGGATAAAGGGAGAGAATCACAAAAACCATGTGTTGGTGCCCTGAAAACACCAAACTGTTGGGTTGTTAAGGGCCCCTAAGGGGGTGCATATTATCCTGCGCTGCCCCCACAGGACCAGTACCCACTACACTTCCCTCCTCGTTCCAGGAGTACGGGTTCGGGAAACTTCAACCGCTCCCAGTAATTGAGGTGTTTTATTTCCGTTATGCGCGCCGTGAATGTTCTCTGTACATTTTCTAAGTCAGCAATTTCACCTGCCTTGCAACGTGCTGTTAGTGTGCAGCAATATTCCAGCCTAGATAGAACAAGCGACCTGAAGAGTGTCATCATGGGCTTGGCATCCCTAGATTTGAAGGTTCTCATTATCCATCCTGTCATTTTTCTAGCAGATGCGATTGATACAATGTTATAGTCTTTGAAGGTGAGATTTTCTGACAGAACAGTCAACCTGTGTGATGAAGTATAACAGAACAGTCAACCTGTGTGATGAAGTATAACAGAAGAGTCAACCTGTGTGATGAAGTATAACAGAAGAGTCAACCTGTGTGATGAAGTATAACAGAAGAGTCAACCTGTGTGATGAAGTATAACAGAACAGTCAACCTGTGTGATGAAGTATAACAGAACAGTCAACCTGTGTGATGGTTATTAGTAAACATAGTTTTTCTGCAGAGCTCTGCAGTACATACAGTTCCTGAACCATCTAGGGACACACCAGATCATCATCAGTGTTGTACAGTGTCATAGATGCACACTGCAGGCACAGGCTGGTGCTCGATATTAGGAAAATGTTACATGTATCGGGAGAGAGATGGAGGTCACGCTCGATGGGTTGCGGCTATAGTGTTGTCAGATCAGTGTACATCTTCTCATAGATGGGATAGTGAAACGGGTCAAATTGCCCTGTGACACGGCAGTTAGTAAGTTTATTTAAGCACAGGTACACATAAGTACAATTATCATACATAGTGTAAATTACCTAGGATAACCCAAAATAAAGTCAAGATATAGTGACTTATTTCACATCTGTTTTACTGTTGTGGCTAAAATGATCACTACCGCCAGAGACTTCAGGCATTTACGAGCTCCAGGAATATTCCTTGAGATAGCGATATATTGGAAAAGACCCCCTAATTAAGCTACTGTTGGCAATGCTAAGTTGTAACGAGATCTGGACTCTCTAGTATGAGCAGGGATGTGCTCGGTACCTTCCTGCATACGCATGCTGGTCATTGCTCTCTCCTGTCTCAGTGTTGTCTTCCTTCATGAAGGTGGAGACTCCGCTAGTCACAGCACTGCCCATGTTACTATGAAAATAATGACGGGTGTATGTGTCCACAGTATTCATGAGGATAGCTTCGTGGTGCTCATAACCTCGTCATTGAAGCATTTTGTGCATCTGCCCGAAATGCTCGGCACTGCCCGAAATGATCTTCATAATAAGGGAACTTTCTGTAAAATAGCTCATGCATGCCATTCATCCCTATTTTAATTGTATACTGTACTGTACTTTATATAAATAAAGTTTGTCTTTGTCAATAACAAAGAAGAGGAAAGGTAATGTGGAAAAAGGCACTTGTGTACAGTTCAGGATATTTATTAGAGAAAACGTTTCGCCATTAGTGGTTTCGTCAGTCCTAATGAAGAAGCCGCTTGTGGCAAAACGTTCTCTCTAAAAAAAATGTCTTGAACTGTACATAAGTGTTCTTTTCCACATCTTTTCAGTATCACTAGACCATTTTCCAGAGAGGTAATGGTTAGATACGGTGCCGGTCGTGGCAGTCCTATAAACCAACAACACTTGCCACACTTTAAATGCCTCGAAATCACAATAAAATGATATAATGAAAAAATATTTTTATTAAAATGACATTTCTTTTTTGGTACCAAAGTAATGTATAGCGTTACTGTTTACTATATACATTTTCAGGTAATACAATACACGGTAACTGCGACAAGTCAGCTGACCAGAGTAAACAATGATGTCCGCCCACCGTAATGTGAACAAGTTAGTGGTGATCAAAAAACTAACAGATACGTCTTACGACATTAAAGACGTCGTTAGAACAGACTTGGAATCCAACAACAAAGGATTTTCTATCCTCCTGGCGGACGGGAAGTTAATACTTGTAGTATGGGTCAACAAAAAAGTTACCTCGCAAGTTGTACTGGACGTGTCTGAGTGAGTATGAAATTTATTTCGGCTTATGTATGTGTGTGTGTAGGCTTCGTGATGCTTAAGGGTAATATGGATTAGTATCTGAGGTGTTGAACCTAATTCATGGGAAACTTTGGGAAAAGGTTGGACAAGTGGGTGGGTGGAAATGGTTTAGTGAAAGACCTGCCTAGTTTGGGCCGGTAGGCCTTCTGCAGTGTTCCTCCATTATTATGTCTCCTTCACCGGACGCTTCTTGATGCAGGTGAAGGTATTGTGATCCAGGGGATTGGAGCCACCCTCCTTTGAATCCAATTCCTAAGACCTCTCCCCCTAGGTTGTATGACTCTTTCGGATTTAGAGCATAAACTTGATAATAATAAAAATGTATAATCTCTATGGGTTTTTGAAATAAAGACGCTAAAGAACATCCACTGGGTGAAGCATCTCCTAATAAATACCCTAAGCATTACATACATATCTATTTTGCAGTGTGTCAGTATTTATATACCTGAAGATTGTAATAGGTTTGATATATAAGATTTTCTGATCTGGCACTGAGCTGTTTGGTAGTTAGCAGGTTCTGTGGAACCAGGTACCATTGATGAAGCTTTGTAACCACTTGAAAAAGCCTGTTCACTGTAATTCTTCATGAAGCTTGGTGATAAATATGAATGATTTCATAGAGTACTTGACTTTATTTTACCTGTGTATAAAGAGAATGTATAAATATATGCAGTATTTACACAATTTAAGATTACCTTAATAAAAAATACAATCATCTTCAGTGCATGCTGGCAACGTGGAGGCGAGAGTGAAGTTATTATTGCCTGCCAAAATGGGAAACTGGTCCGGTATTCAGTGCACTTTGATACTGGTCTCTCCTGCTCACTTCAGTTATCTGCTCCATCTCTTCTTTCACTTATCAGGGAGAAAGATTCAAGTAAGTTTGATACTTAAATGGTTTATCATATTTATGAAGAAGGGTTTTCAGCAGAGGTGTGATATTTGTATTGAAATTGGGGATATTACTAATTATAACTGTTTCTCCTATTGTCCTCTCTAGTATGTTGTTAAACCCCATTAGCAAACACTTAAGTATATTATAAATTAGTCATGAATCATTGTACTGAATATATGTATGAAAATAAAGTCTGTGATGTGTATAGGGTTCTCTATGTTGAACTGGTATCCTATGACTTTATTATATATTTAATGTACAGCTAAATTAATCATATCTAGATTCCATAATACAGCTCTATATTTCATAAATTTTCATAGGGTTAAAGCCTGTTTTTGATGGTTATCATTTTTCTGTATTTTTGGATTTTTTAAATTTATGTAATTACAGTTTACTGATTGTCACACAGTATAATATTTACTATTCTACAGGTATACGCTCAATTCGTAGCCCAAGAATATGGGGCCATACAGATCAGTTCATTCTCATGCAACCACAAATTGATCGCTTAGTGCTTCTGGCCACCAATGCTGGAGGCCGTCCCACTACACATGGGGTTCTTCGGACCCCACCTCTTCGTACAGCACACCTCTACAAAAACATGATCTTGGCACAGCCTGTAACTGGAACAGATCTATGTATCCTTTTAATTAACTAGTTTTTATGCTCATTAATCACTTATTCTGTGGATATATTAAATTTACTAAGCATTTATTTCAAGGGAAGCTTCTTTAAAAAAAATGCCTTTTTAACACTGCTGCCTGCATAGGAAGACTGAAAGATTTTTAACACATCAGTCATCTCTTACCAAGGTAGGGTGATTGGAAAAAGAGGAATGGTGCTATATTAAGCATTTATAAGCAAAATTGGTAATTGTGAATATTTTAGCATACCTATAACTTCAGTAGTCTGATATATATTTTAGAATGTACCACTTAATTCATTACTAGTACAGGTCCTCCATCACAAATCCGGCATCATTGGGATCTGTAGTGTGCCAGATTACCGAGTTTGCTGGATTACAGAGTAGTTAGGTTAGAATACACTTAATAAAATTAACCAACTTGACTGATGCAAAAATCGAACATTTCCAGTACTTTGAGTTCAATTTCAAGGTACTTTTCGTCATGAAAGCAATCAAAATCATGTCAATTTCTGTAATATATCTTCCATTCTATCAAATGAGTCCAAAAAAATGATAATACAACCATAAAAACCATACGAAAATATACTGCAAATAGGCGGCTAATGGCTGAGAAGTGAACTCCCTTATTTATCATCCTTCTTTTTTATTTTTGTTGTACGTTAAGAAGCATCTTTCCATCATACATTGCCTAAGTTTCAATGAGATAGCCCAACAAACAACCGAGAAAAAAAAATTATTTACCAAAAATCATATATGGCAAGCCCAAGCCAGGTACTGGAAATAAGTCACTTTGTCTGACTTTTCTGGGTTATCCTAGGTTCTCTATACATATACTGCTATGTATGATAATCTATGTAACTGTATTTGTGTATACCTGAATAAACTTACTTACTTCTAGTCTGTCAGCTGAGTACAAGAAACCGCCCATTCACTTATTTCAACTACCCAATAAAGTGGTCAGAAATTGGCAGTTTGGCCGATTTCACACAAATTTCAACAGATGCCAATTTCAAAATAGAGTCCAGAATAAACAATGCAGACATTCCTGGCACTAAAATAACATTTTCTCTGTTCATTAGTCACAGCTACAGGCCCCTCTTATATTACTCTTGCTTACCATTTGGAATTTTTATTCACACAAAAAAATAGAAGATTTACTGTTATGCAGACTACTGCATTATTGTAATAATTGTACAAATAATGTCAACCCAGACTACAATTTGGAATTTGGATTGGCAGGCGGACAGGTATTGGACGGTGACGTCATTTGTTTACTCTTGAGCTTCGCTAAAGAACAGAACATTTTCGCTGCTGTGAGCGCAATTTCAAGGTACTTTTCGTCATGAAAGCAATCAAAATCATATCTATTTCTGTAATATATATTTCATTCTATCAAATGAGACCGAAAAAATGAGAATTTTTTTTTTTTTTCAATAAGTCGGCCGTCTCCCACCGAGGCAGGGTGACCCAAAAAAGAAAGAAAATCCCCAAAAAGAAAATACTTTCATCATCATTCAACACTTTCACCACACTCGCACATTATCACTGTTTTTGCAGAGGTGCTCAGAATACAACAGTCTAGAAGCATACACATATAAAGATACACAACATATCCCTCCAAACTGCCAATATCCCAAACCCCTCCTTTAAAGTGCAGGCATTGTACTTCCCATTTCCAGGACTCAAGTCCGACTATATGAAAATAACCGGTTTCCCTGAATCCCTTCACTAAATATTACCCTGCTCACACTCCAACAGATCGTCAGGTCCCAAGTACCATTCGTCTCCATTCACTCCTATCTAACACGCTCACGCACGCTTGCTGGAAGTCCAAGCCCCTTACCCACAAAACCTCCTTTACCCCCTCTCTCCAACCCTTTCGAGGACGACCCCTACCCCGCCTTCCTTCCCCTATAGATTTATATGCTTTCCATGTCATTCTACTTTGATCCATTCTCTCTAAATGACCAAACCACCTCAACAACCCCTCTTCTGCCCTCTGACTAATACTTTTATTAACTCCACACCTTCTCCTAATTTCCACATTTCCGAATTTTCTGCATAATATTTACACCACACATTGCCCTTAAACAGGACATCTCCACTGCCTCCAACCGTCTCCTCGCTGCTGCATTTACCACCCAAGCTTCACACCCATATAAGAGTGTTGGTACTACTATACTTTCATACATTCCCTTCTTTGCCTCCATAGATAACGTTTTTTGACTCCACATATACCTCAACGCACCACTCACCTTTTTTCCCTCATCAATTCTATGATTAACCTCATCCTTCATAAATCCATCCGCCGACACGTCAACTCCCAAGTATCTGAAAACATTCACTTCTTCCATACTCCTCTTCCCCAATTTGATATCCAATTTTTCTTTATCTAAATCATTTGACACCCTCATCACCTTACTCTTTTCTATGTTCACTTTCAACTTTCTACCTTTACACACATTCCCAAACTCATCCACTAACCTTTGCAATTTTTCTTTGGAATCTCCCATAAGCACAGTATCATCAGCAAAAAGTAACTGTGTCAATTCCCATTTTGAATTTGATTCCCCATAATTTAATCCCACCCCTCTCCCAAACACCCTAGCATTTACTTCCTTTACAACCCATCTATAAATATATTAAACAACCATGGTGACATTACACATCCCTGTCTAAGACCTACTTTTACCGGGAAGTAGTCTCCCTCTCTTCTACACACCCTAACCTGAGCCTCACTATCCTCATAAAAACTCTTTACAGCATTTAATAACTTACCACCTATTCCATATACTTGCAACATCTGCCACATTGCTCCTCTATCCACTCTATCATATGCCTTTTCTAAATCCATAAATGCAATAAAAACTTCCCTATCTTTATCTAAATACTGTTCACATATATGCTTCAATGTAAACACCTGAGCTACACATCCCCTACCCACTCTGAAACCTCCTTGCTCATCCGCAATCCTACATTCTGTCTTACCTCTAATTCTTTCAATTATAACCCTACCGTACACTTTTCCTGGTATAATATAGAATAATATAGAATAATATAGAATATAACCATAAAAACATACAAAAATATACCGCTAAGCGGCCGCTAATGGCTGAGAAGAAATCCC